TGCTTCTTCAACATTACTCTTCATTCGCGAAGTTAACTTTACTCATTTTTCAAGCATGTAGAATAAAATAAGACACTTGACTCGTTAGCTTGAATTTGGTTGTGACGATGACATCTTGCTCTGATGATGTCCGTCATATAACGGACGAAAACTCAGCACGTTTTCACCGGAATCGAAGGAAATTGCCTCGGAAACAGCGTCAGCAAGAATGTTCCAGTAAAGCCAATCGACAGTTGGTCAAGAGGAATCCGCCGTCTTTTTCTGCTGGAACCGATCTTTGAATCTCTTCACCCAACACTTTCACTCGAAATAGAAGTAAGCTCAACAATTATGAAACTCAATTTTTTTTCGCATATATTTTGCGCGAATAAGTCCTCAGCCCATCATCTCGGGGACTCTAAGACAGTCCTCCTTCAGCTTCCGGCAAGACCAACTTACGATTCAAGTCCACTCGTCTCTTTAAACACACGAAAAGGAACTCCAACATAAATCTCTGAAGGTATTCTTTTAGAACCAATTCTTCGAAATATTTAGTCGGAGACCTTCATTTCTGAGCTTTCGCCCATACCTTGCTCTGATGATGTTCGTCAAGTGACGAACGAAAGCTTAGCACCTTTCGACCGGAATCGAAGGAGATTGCCTCGGAAACAGCGTCAGCAAGAATGTTCCAGTAAAGCCAATCGACAGCGGGTCAAGAGGAATCAGACGTCGTCTTCTGGTGGAATCGACCTTCGAATCTCTTCACCAAACACTTTCACTCGAAATGGGATTAGATTCAACAATTATGAAGCAAGAGATTCTTCGAAACCCAATTATTCTTCGCAAAATTGAAGAAACCAACCAAATCGGAAGAGGCCTCATAAAGATCGCGATGTTGGGTGTATAAAAAAGCGAATAGGGTTGCAGCGGACCATTTTTTTTTGGTTTAGTATATTTTTGCTCTATTTCGTAAAGTATGCAATCTTGCTCTGATGTAGTCTCTCGCGGTGGTACAGACGAAGCTTAGCACAGTTGCATCGGGGTCGCAGGACGGTGTGCCAAGAAGTTATTTGCTCAATTCAACAGTCTTTCCTACGCGGCAATCCTCCTTCGGTTGTCGGTGAGACGACATCACGAATTCCTTTTAACCAACTTGTCCTTCGAAATGGAAAGTCATGTGACAATATGGTGCCAAGTAATTCTTCGAAACACAGTTTCTTTCGTAATTATGGAGGTTTGACAATGGCCAAATGTGTGTATGTATGCATAAATTGTCAAGCTAATAGTCGCCAACATGAAACAGACCAAGAAATGACCGTTTTGCAGGGAGAAGTACGAAAGAAGGAGGGAGTTTGCAATTCGGCCTTTCGAGTAAACAGTTCACTTTTGGTGAGGAATACAAGCACGCTTTCTAAAGCAGAACTAATTAATTTCCCAATTCTATCCTCCCGAGGCGCAAACATTTCTTTGCTTCTTCTTCCAACTGAGGTTCACAAGAGGCCTCGTTTGCAATTCCTCGTCTCCCATGCTTGACACAGCCTGCCATGCGATTTCTTTCGACACACAGTGACAACCAGTCGCTTAGCGACGTCACAATAGAAGAATATGCATTTGTTGCATTTGCTTTTTCCTGTCAAACCCTCGTTTGTTCTCGATTTGGGTTCCATACTGTACCAAGATCCCAGAGCCCGAATGTGTCAAAGATAGGGCTTTTACAACAAATAAAATGTGGAAATAATAGAGGCGCATGTTTCATAGGCGGATTTCACTCACAGTTCATTGTAAGAACGGGATCGGAAAGACCGTTGGACATAGAAAACTCGCTGCCAACGGTCGCCTCGCTGTTGGCCAACATCTGCCGAGTCTCCTGCGCTGCTTGAACGAGGCTGCTGGGGGAAAACTGCGGCGTCATAGTCGCTCCGATCGTGGCACTCAAAGAACCGTCTAATGCCCTCGTCACTTTGGTCACGCGACAGAAGGACATGTTATACGCTTTGGACCGACTCATGGCGTCTGCGAACTGGCCAGACGAGTGAAGCATGCGAATGACAAGAAAAAAGTATAATTCACAGAATGCTAAAAAATTGTCCGCACAATTAAGACTGTTTTTATTGAGAATAGGCAGATTAAAACATCACCTCCGCCTCGAAAGCCTTCTGGGAGCAACTCAAACTCATTTCACGATTAATAATTTAATCACATCATTCTCCACTATCAGTCCTTATGTAGCATTCGTATTATTCACCTTAAACAAAATAGAATGAATACATTCCATATATCTGATTTACTGGTACTTTCGAGACGCTACTTATAAACGAAAAATAAGTAGTGTAGTCGATGGTTATAGCAAATATAACTTTACTTCATCGACGTCCCACCAGAGAATGTGATATCGGAAAATGCATAGCTTTCCTTGAAATGTACATCTTCTCTTTGACCCAACGGCACTGTGACACGTGGCAGTTTGTCTTAGTGGCTAACATGTCGAGATTATACGCTGCACTAACATGCGGCGAGTTCGAGTCCCGCTGAGGGTGTTGATGAGACCAGTTGAGACGAGGTCGAAACTGCCGTCCACCTCAGCCTGGATGATAATACCTTATGGGAAAGCAAGGCCATGTGAGTATAAATGGAAACGTAATGTCTGCCAGTATGATTGTGGGAAAATTAAACAACCATTTCCCTTATCACCTTAAATGAACCAGAGTGAATAGCAAGAATCACTGACAGTTTCAAATGAAAGTTCAGAATGAAAGTGAAGTCCTTGAATGTGCGGATAAAACTCAAGTTTCATAGTTAGTAAGCCAGGCCTACACATGACATTGTGGGGAAATAAAGCAATCAGTCTTTAATCACCCTACGCGATATGGCCTGTCTACAGCTCTTATTCCAAATACCACGATCCCACTATAAAGTTGATTTGACAAAGGTTCGGCTTGCCTCGGAACCCATGGCGTAATTGGCCGTGTTGCAAAGTGGCAAATTGTGTCGCAATGATGCACAAAACCAGGTTTCCAATCTGATTTGGAGTGGGCACTCCAACTATTGGTCCCTCATCACATAACTCGACCGAGGCAGCCACGATTTTAGTCAAGAAGAACTGACAATTTTGCAGCGTACTCGAGTCCCTTCATGAGTGTCCAGAGGCAAGAACAATGCAAACTTGATGTTAATCAAAGATTTTTCAAAACTAGTAGTTAATTTTAACTAATAACAATAATGGGATAAGTAGTCGTCAAGGTGCCACGCAGTGCCAAATGGTCATTTCTTCCAGTCTGAGGTACACTTTGACACCGCCCCATCCTATCCTCAGTAGCTCAAAAATAATTAATCAGAAACAGGGTTGTTCAATTAATTCTGGATGAAAACGCATTTGGGTAGGCAAGACTATGCAAACCTAGGCTGACTAAATTTTTGAGTAGAAAGGTATTTATGAAGAGATGGAGCGCTGCTACATCTCCGGACACAGCATCATTGGGATGAATTTGGTTTTTAGCGAAAGCATGCAACGAATAAAATTGTGCAATCGTTTTGATACTATCATTAATTATTTTAAAATTATATTTTGCCTTCAGAATTGCAACTTATTAGCAGAAAAGAGTCGTCCGGTAAAGAGGAGGATCAACCAAGTGTTTGTGTCGTCTAGACCAACATACAGGCGAATGCACATAGTCAGCATAACGCAAAGGTTGCTTAAAGGCCACATAATAATAATAATAATAATAATAAATAAAATATTAATGATAATAATAATAATATACAAGCAAAAAATAAATAATGTAATCAATTGTAATAGCAAATATAACTTTGCTTCGTCGACGATCCTACAAGAGAATGTATAATAAGAATGATAATGATAATAATAATAATATTAATAATATATACAAACGAAAAATAAATAATGTAGTCAATTGTAATAGCAAATATAACTTTGCTTCGTCGACGATCCCACAAGAGAATGTATAATTAGAATGAAAATAATAATAATAATATATAAAAGCGAAAAATAAATAATGTAGTCAATTGTAATAGCAAATATAACTTTGCTTCGTCGACGATCCCACAAG